GTAGCAACATCACCAATGGGCAACTTTGACAAAACAACCTTTGCTCCACTCTTGTGCACTTTGTCTAACTTGTCGTAAAGTATATCCCACTCTGCATCGACTATGTTTTGATATTCCTTAAAGTACAATAATTATGATGAATCATGAAACACATGCTTTAATGTCTAATACAGTATGTAAAAAGTWAACTTTTACCTGGACATTATCAAGTCTCACTTCAGCATTTTCTTTCTCAGCTTTGAGTTCAAGCTCAACATTTAACAAAGCAATCTTACAATCTTTGTACTTTTTAGGCTGCATTTCAAAGCCAGCATAGGAGAAAGTCTTCTTGAATGCTACACCTTTGACAAGTAAAGAGTCTTCCAATGCCCCTCCTGATACCATCTTAATACCAATCATGTTCAGGGGGAGTAACTCATCCAAGTGAAGCACAGCATCTACAACCATCTTAGAGAAGAAATCTTTGTATGTTGCTATGAGCTTTGAACTCATTGCTGTAGCTGCACATCGTTCAAGTAATTTTCGCATTTCACTATTTACACAAAATATCAAATAAATATTATGCTTTCACTAAGAAAAATAACAATGGTTTACTTACTCTGGGTCATCCTTCTTAACAGGAACGGCTAATTCTTTGATTCTTTTGATGGCCTGGATTGGTAAAATGAATCAGTGTCAAAACATCTTTATAAACAATAAACATGTTATGTCACTATTCATGAAGATTGTTTTCATACCAAGTTGGCTGCTTTTCTGTAACTCTTAACAACTATTTGTGGATGAACACCTTCTTCAATGAAAGATTTGATTTGCTTTAGAAATTCACAAGCCAGAAGTACTACAGACGTCGTTCCATCGCCAACCTGAATCCAAACAATATGGAAAAACATTAGTCGACATACCACTTCCTATTCAGAAAATGTTATTTACAAGGGTAACACTGGAAATGTGGAATACTGCAAGGCAAGTGGTGAAGAAGTGAGGGGGCTAATTTAGTGACAGGCTAAAGCATAGATGAAGATTAACAAGGTAAACCACAATGCAAGAATATAATATTTGTGTACTTCAATGTTTTGATATCATTTTGATATCAAGAGTTTATTTTTCGATTGAAATCAACGTTACCTCTGCATCTTGTGACTTGGCAATATCAACGAGAGTTTTTGCAGCAGGATGAATGATATCAAGAAGGTTTATAATCGTAGCACCATCGTTTGAAATCGTTGACTTGCCTTTGAAAAGAAAACAAAGATTTGTCGATCAGACCATTAAATCATCGACTTAGGATAAGTAAAAGGGGTACAAATTCTCCATAATATTTATATTTTTTAGAAATACCAGCAAATACTTAAAAAATAAATGAATTGTCACGAGAATTTGACCTGCACGTGCGTTAACAAGCTGTCAAAATTTGTACAACACCCATTTTGTACACACCTCTGTTGTCAACCATAAGTTTRTCCATTCCTCTTGGCCCGAGMGTTGTACGAACAGCATTTGCGATGAACTGACAGGCATTTATATTGCTTATAAGTTGAGGGATTCCTTGTGAGGAATCGGTGCCCTCTTTYAGAAGAATGATACCAGGTTGCTACAAGGAACATACATCAAATGAAAAGAGTCAAAATGTCATAATTTCATGGATATACCACATAAAAACAAATTGTACGACTCGTAAAGTTATCAAAGAGTAAATTTATCAATTAATTTCTCTTTCAAAGTTCAAATTGACAACGATGATCACGGATTTTCTCAACAAACTTACCATCTTGTCCAAGACTATTTTACCGGCTTCGTTTCATATGCGCAGAAGGCTACAGATCTTATGCRCTAGTGCGCATGAAAAACACAGGAAGCCCAGCAATATGTACAGAAAAGTAGTTTTAATAGTGCTGATTTTCTCGCTGTTATTATTTTTATCGTTTCTGTTGGTGTTGTAGCTGTTGGTGTTGTTATGATCACTGCTGTCAGTGTTGGTGTTGTTGTCGTTGCTGTTGTTGATGTCATTGCTATAATTGTTGTTGCTGTTGTTGTTGATATTTTTGTTGTCATCAGATATCATTATTGTACATCAATCCAGCTGTTTGCTGGGTAAATTCACTGAAGTCCAATAATCTCATACCAAAATATAAAGCGTGATTGTGTGTGAATCTACTACCTGACGCCATATTCAAAYGCGAATTCTGTCGATTAGCACCTCATAAAAAGCTAAGTGTTCATTTAAACAAAAACACAAAAAAAAACAGGCGAAAATTAAATTTAAWGTACGTTTGTTACAAATGAGATTTTTGCTATTGTGTTACAAGAAGAAGATTGGCTATTGGCCTCGCATGCTACCTCAACAGACCGCAACATTAAATATTAAATACTCACGGCATAAACTAAAGTAAAGATCTCTCGCTATTGAGTCGAAATGTTTGCGAAGGACAAACATTGAACGGTACAGTGTTTTCTCAGTTTATTTTTGAAAGCGTGTCATATTTTTTGATGAATGAGATATCGGCGTTGATGTTACCAGGCAAACGTAAAGAAGAAATGGCATTCAAAGCTGAATAAATACTTCAATATACAGTAAAAACCATGGATTCAGAGGTGTTACAAGGACTATTATTCGTGAAAGAAGAATAGCAGCCCAAGGGCTCAAAGGTAAGCTGTTGATATCTTTAATCAAAATGGGATGAAAATAATCTCAATCATTTACTGTAATATTGTTTATCATTTTGCGCGCTCATGTTGTACATATCAATACTGAAACATTCAGCAGTAAACACAATTGGTCACCTCACAAATACAGCTCCAATAAGTTGAAATTTAGAGTAGATGTATTCCGTTGTCCGTGTACAGAAGTTTCTTTTTCACTGACTTTAATTTAAACGAAAGAATATGATAAAAACACTTCTTAGTCAGTCTTCAAAACATTACAATAACAAGTGTTTCTAGCGACTGGAATATATTGATAAGCACAAGTCTCGTCCTTGCTTGTTCTTGTTGTTGTTGTTCTCGAGGTAATTTTGTTAAAAAGAGTACTAATAGGAAATGAAACGCGCGCTTATCTTGAGTGCTATCGATTAACACTTTTTGGCCAACGTTTCGCGTACATCTGTTGCGGGACAAATCAGTATAAACTATTCAAATAATAATACTTTTTCACGGTAAATCTCACACTGTTATTTATTAGTATGTTTGTATCGTTTGCATGTCCAGCATGTAATTCTCGCATGATGATTTGGTATCAGACCGATAGACCGATAGACTTTGAGTTGCCTTGAATATAGAAGTGTAATATGAACCTGTTCCAAGTCATAAGGGTAATGAAATAAATTGCGTTTTTTAGTGTAATATAACGTACATTATACTCTGACAGAAGACGGGGAGGCTGAGTGCAACTGAAGCTAGGATTACAGCCGAGTAGAACAAAAACAGCTAGCAAGAAGATCATAGATCTTGATAGATCTTTGATCTGATAGAAGATCAAACAGATAATTACAGGCAAATATAAAAATCTCTTCTATTTCTCCTAAAACGATTGCAATTGACTGCCGACGTATCATACTGAAAACACTTAACTATTGGATAAATAATAAATATTAATACTGATGATTTCTTGCATTTTTGTAATATTGGGTATACATACAGCCTTTTGCAAAAATTATGAGAATTGTCTAAATATCTAAATATCATAATATCCATATCCATATATTGTCCGGAACACGCGGGTTTGCTAGAATAATTCATTGTTGACATCGAGAAAATGTTCAGAACTACGGATAAGTCTGTCGCCAAAAAAAACTAAACTACAAAGACAAGGGACTAAGGTCATCGCGCGGGATTACCCATCATGCACTCGATATTATGATATTTAGATATTTCAACAATTCTCATAATTTTTGCAAAAGGCTGTATACAATATATTCAATCTGTATATATTGCTATAAAATCTTAATCATAATTGCTCTACATTTATATTTTTCGACTCTTTTTGGGTTATGAATTTGCGTCTTCACGAAAGGTACGAATCTTATCTCATTTTCAGCGGGAGAAAGTGCGGCCTTGATGCATGATTGTCAATTGTCTGGCTACATAATTATAAAATCCCACGGAAAAGTCCGCGGTGCGTCAACGTCCTTTTTAATAATAAGACAAGCTTACTGTATAAGATTAGTTTTCTTCAGAACCGTTCTACAAAGACAAAAACGTCATTTCAACTAGAACTGGTGACATTTCATTTTCCTGTAGACAAATGTACAGCACCATATCCATGGTGAGCCTAACGGGAGACACTGAATARCAGTWTTAGATGCTGTTATATGGAAGTCGTGAGTTATTAAATCGGTGCTGGTATTTACATCAACACACACTCRATAAYYATATGGCTGCAGGTTGGGCTGYTGTGATAATTACCTGTGGTTTGACAGAGTAGATGGTTTTTAGAATTGAGCTAGCAAATAACTGAACATATATGAAGAAATAGATTGAATCGAATAGATTGACTTAAAAAATATTTTATAGAATCAAATGAGGGAAGGGAAAAAGCGAGAAAGATGACGATTAGATTCAGATTGAGATAAACTGAATACGGCAAAGCAAATGTAATGATTTGGAATAGAAAATGAGAATAAGTGAAAGTGAATGGATTTAAACAGGTGAATGAAATGTGATAAAAATAGAAATAGAATTATACAGACTGATCAGGGAATATAGGAACATGGCTATATTACCATTATGAATTTATAACAATAATTTACATTCAAGTATAGATAAAGAACAATAGCTACTTTCATTTAGATTGTTTTTACATCTTTTAGAAATATTACAATATGGAAAAATAGCAAAACATGCACATACTGAAAAAAACAATTAAGACATCAACAATTTGAATTAATGATAAGGGTCGTAAAACGACGACTTGATACTGATGATGAAAGCGGAAAGCCGTAACTAGAGCGTGAAAAAATATACTCAAAAGTCATAATTCTAGGAAGGTTTTGAGCTTCATTCAGTCTAAAAGAGGCACCTGTTAACAATACATTTTCAGTTTCCATGATTAGCAGTCTACTCCAAACCATTGTAACGAAATGCGCAGTTATTTATGTGCGGTTTCTGCCGCAACTTACCATGGCAACCGCTATATTTTAAGTGCATCATTTATAATAGATAGTAACCAAGCATGTCAAAATACTCTTAAAAATCCAAAGCACGACAAAAACAACGATATGCATATACATAAGTATGTCTATGAAGCGTAAAATGTGAAGTAATGGAATATATTTTTGTTTCAGAATGGATTCGACGTTTATTAGGAGTGAGCATACTCGAGCTGGATTAATCGCCGGTCGTGTGAGGCTTTGTGGTACTCTATTGTTTGTTGGAAGCATCTTGATTGGATTTCTATTGTTTGTCGCGATGATTCTACCTACGTTAGAGAACGCTGGTTACGTGTCGACATCATGCAACACTACAGACTTTACCGTCAGAACAGATAAACACAATAGAATGAAGTGTAATTGTCTTCCTGACGATAGCAGCTCAAAATGCGTGATTTTTTATCCGTGTCTTCAACTATTTGCATCCTACAGCTTARAAGGAAGAACACAACGAGCTTTGGTAGTCAAATGCCGGAGACATGTAGGCGACAAATGCTCRTATACTATACGGGATTATGACTGTATTTCCGAAAAGTTTGTGTATGAACAACTGAAAAAGTTTCGAGATCGATTTGCGAGTTTAGGGAAGTCRTTTACTTGCCATGTCAAGGAGRATCAACCACGMTATGCGGTTTTGATGCGCAATCGTTTGAAAAAACATCATGTAGTTAATGTTATTCTTTGGCCTTGTTTGGGTATCATGATCGGGATGATGATGATGATTTCTAGTAAGATAGTATCATTATATTACTGTAATCATCACTATCAACGCGCTGATCWAGATGACATGGAACCCTTGACAAACTTTACAAATTCGTGATGYCTGGACAATAAAAAAACAACAATAACATTTGACTATTGCTGTAACCAATTCAATGYATTTTCTCTTCATTGGTACCTTGCTCTTTTGAATTAAWATTTTTGTATAAAAGTGAACAAAAATTCTGTCATGCATCTATTGTAGCCTGCTTGGAGTTGAAAATATTCTTACACATTACTTTTGCACTGATTTATAAAGGAATTTGAAAGTTATTCCGAGTCACAATTTCTTTATGATCGCTTTAGAGCATCCACAATGTCGCACAACAACTGTGGTTTTGCGCTCTTCAAATCGCTTGATCGGGGTGACAAAGCTATTCAGTACATTGAGTTGAACAAACATTTTACAACGGTTGTTGCGGTAGCTTGTATGGTTTCTGTACAGCCACAACAAGACTACTTTATAATAGTGCAGTTCTATTATAAATAGATAAATAAATAAATACAAGTTTATTACGCCCTTACGTATTTATTTGCAGAAAAGTATACAAAAATWACTAATTTATTGACACACAAGTCATCTTGGCTGACAACAAATCAAGCTTTAAAAAATTCGTATAAAATGTGTGTACCTCTATCTACTGTTTTTGACACCAGTAGTACTTAAAATTACCTATATATCAATGAAATATCTAAAGCATTCTATAATTGATAACCTATGTGCGCTTTCTGGGTTGTCTATATGTTCATAACCCAGGTGTAGTGATTTTTTACCTAACTAGTGTATGAATAACCTCTCTCTAGAGTGCATGTCATAAATGTGTGAAACAATAGCGTAACTATTTTTTGGGCGTATCGCTATTAAGTTGCATAGCTGCTAACTTCGTAGTTATTTTCTTCATAYAAGAATTGATTCAGGCGTAAAAACAAAGACACAAAGAAATGCGTCTATCTTTGATTTCTTTGTGTCTTTGTTTTTACGCCTGAATCAATTCTTATATGAAGAAAATAACTACGAAGTTAGCAGCTATGCAACTTAATACCGATACGCCCAAAAAATAGTTACGCTATTGTTTCACACATTTATGACATGCACTCTACTCACTATCCTTGTGTTTTAAACGTATTTAGTGCGTCCACTCAGTCACTATTACCGAAATTATTTTATTATTTCGTTGTTTATTTCTATATTTGGAGATTCAAAATGACTCGCTACTAATCCATCTCTACAACGTTGTTTCGTTAAGCCAACAACAGCAGTGCCAGTATTGATAGTGCAACATGTGACAGTAGAGCAGTCACGTGGGCCGCATGTCCTTGCGGTACCACTACCGCTTTGGGGTAGGGTTCGATATCTGCGCATCCTTGTCGCTCAGGTCCTCCATTCTTGACATGTACCACAATGCTTCTTTTAACAACTACAAGAAGAGAGGAATAATCCATTGATTGATTTTTTGACTGAAAGGATTACATTGTTTGATTGACAGACTAAATAGCTGTCTCACTGAATGAATGTCTTACTGACTGTCTGACTGAATGATTGACTGACTGACAAAACAACTGACTGACTGATTTACTGAACGAATGACTAACTGACCATATGAATGTGCGACWGAAGAATAACTGACTGGCAGACAGAACAACTGACTGTCTAAAGTAATGACTGACTGACAAAGCCACTAGTGATAGCCTGAATGACTGACTACATGGCACATGGGCTCACTAACTGAACAAATGATGAATGTCACTCCAAACTGATTAATGAACTTATAGCAAGACTGAAGGATTGAATGAAAGGACAGTACAAATAGAGTAAAAACGCATACCTGAATATGTACCAGACAATGGTGTATCAACATCAGTGTAGAATCGTGGTCCAGAGCCTAGAGAATACTGMGCATTCTTTGCTGAGGAGTCACCCAGTTCGCAGCGAAGAGGGTTATCAGGTGTGCATGTAGCTTTATAGTTACCCTACAAATTCATATTATCATACTGTTGATGATTGACAACCAAAGCACCAACCAGTCACCAGTCAATCTATCCTTACATTCTCCACAAATGAACTTACCAACCAACTAACCAACCCACTGACCAAACAGCCAACCGCTCAAAAGAACCAACCAACTTACATTGTAACCAAACCTACAACCAACCAATAGGCCAAACCCACCATCCAACAACTCAAACATCTCACCAATATAAAAACTACAAGCCAACAAACCAACCATCAATGGGCAAACCAATAAGTCAGTTATAAGCAACCATTCAATGAACTACYCCTATCAATGGCAAAGGATTACTGAAAGAAAACAGACAATACAATTTTCCAATAAAGTTAAACTTACCTCAACATACACAACATAAGGGTTGTAGTGAGGTCCTGGACTATCGCATCTACCAGATGACACACCCTTTCTCATATCATCACCAACAAGCTTCTCGTGGACATGCCAATTATGATTTAGTGTCTTACAGAAACAAGCATTATATTATAAAGTGCAATATATATTGTTTGTATCACAATAGTTAGGGTCAGATGGTATGGCTGCAGTATTATCAAAGGGATTTAGAACATGAAGCTTAGTTAGAAATGCATACAGTCACCCTTTTAATAATATCAAAGGAAATACTAGTATGATGTTGTTTTCTTTTTTCTTTTTGAAAAATGTATTTTTTTATTAAGATTAATATTAAAATCTTTTGGATGGACAAACTGGCTGGACAGGAATGGATGGAAATGATATGGTATAGATGGTTTGGTAATTTGTAAATATAATATTTGGTTATAATCCTATGCTTACTTTTTCTCCACTTTTGAGTGACAAGTTAAGATACATCTCTGTGTCAAAAGGAGCTGCAGTAGTGAAACCAAGTGGTACTTGGTACTGTCTCTAATATTAGAAAATATGAACTGAGTGAGTCACCGAAAGTGAAATCACAATAGCAATGAAGAAACATTAGTTAAATAATGTGCTCACAATATTCAAAGCATCATTGTAAATATKATAGATTTTCTCCCTAAATTTTCTACTGTTTTACAGGTGCTYTGATTGCAGAAGAAAAATAATATTCTAGTTTTTAAATATTTTATTTTTCAAAATACTGTGTTAATAGTACAATTGTATGAATTTATAATGTGCTGTGAAACAGTAGCTAGATCCCTACACTTAAAATAATAATTATCAATCTCTCAATCATGCTATTATAAAAAGCTAACTGGTTTTGGCTTTAGCTTAATAATTCTAACTTGATGTTTTATGTGGTGTGAAGAGTTAACCTGCTTAAATGGTTGGTTTCCTATAAATAAATATGTTATAAAATGAATGGATGAAAAGATCGTCAAATATACCAACCATCATGATATCTCCCGTAATGTCAGGACCAGTAAAATGGCTTAGCACTGTAATGTTTGGTGTTGGTTTCGTTATGTCAACAAGTGATCCAGCATTGAATGTAATTGAGCTTGCAGATCTCAGATTAACATTTACACAAATCCAYCTCTTGTTTCCATCCTTTTTGAGATGGTGGACGACCAAAGAACGACCAATAATACTATATCTGCCATACAATGGCAAGTTGTAGTCAGTGTACCTGCCATTACGGTTATTAAGATTTAAGAAGGAGCCATATTTTGCTGATAGATCCCCTATTTCATACTCATCAAATGTACCTAAAAATRATTATCAGATTGATAAATTGTAGTGACATAATTTAAAGTAATAGAAGGTGAAACAACAAGAAATAAAATGCAGAAAAGATAAAAAAGGGAATTCAAGTGTTCTAGATAAGGTGCTCTTTCAATTAAAAAGATGGAGATGACGAAAATGCAAGAAAGATAATAAGGAAAAGAGGAGAAAAAAGATTACAAAAAAACTGTAAAGGAGAGCCCAAACAAATTATATACTTACCAATGCCATTTGGAGGGCTTTTGCTTGGGTCAATACGATAAGGATTWAGATGATCTCCTGCTACAGCGAGACTACAAGCCACCTTATTATCCTTGATGTGYTGGTAYACTGGATTAGGATATTCATGWACATGGAAACCCTCRGCTTTCTTTCTCAAGTTAGACATTTCAAATTGCACATCAGTTGCATCAAAAGGAGAAGGCTGTCTGAATATGAAAAATCCAAAGACACCATCAGCAGTATCAGCATCAAAAATGGCCTTGGCTACTTTACGCAATACTTCTGAAATATTTGCACATGCAACAGGTTTAGAGGGAGCATCTCGACTGTACAACACTAAAGAATGRCCAATGACTGCTTTGTTGCCATTAATAGGTAAATTTGCATCTGTGTAAGCAACTTGYGTGGATGAAAGACCWGAAGTTGCACTTGTCACATTCAYRTATCCATCTTTTGTTTTAAGGTCACCAACAGGGCAACCAGCATGGTTTGTCTTTTTACAGTTASTTAGACTAGTGATTTTGAATGGATTGTATTGTTCACCAATATCAGAACATTGATCAGGRCCAAACTTATCCTTGATTGGCTTGTCATGGATCGCAAGGAAGTACTCTTTTTGGGACACAGACTTATCCACAAAGAACARGTTGACGTACATCAAGGTGACTTCATTTTCAATGACTTGTCGGAAATACACACTTCCTGCAACAGGGCCTTTAAACTGTGCAACAGCAGTGCGACCAGGACCAAAGTTACGATCAATTAATGCACAAGCCTTAGCAACACCTGATGTTGTCATGAATACCAGAGTTCTACTGTAGATGCTATATTTTCCACTTAAAGGCAGGTTAAGATCTGTGAAGTTGTTTTTTGCACTTGCATTATTTATGTTCCCAATCTTACCAGAAAGATCACCAACTGCACACTTGCTTTGGTTTGTCTTTGAACAATCTCCACTTGCAGAGTCAGTAGGGTTGTAAACTGTACCAATWGCAGCACTACGACAGCTTCTTTGAGGACCTCCTTCATAGAGCATAGGCAGACTGTATACTTGTACACGTAGGTCTTCAACTACTCCATTCAGGTCAAATTGGATGTGAGTTGAAMTGGATGGATCAYTGCTTTGRGTAAAGGTGACAGTTCCTTTGATCTTTGACATACTAACGCGYGCTGTTTGAATYATGTTGCTGCATGAAGCCATAGGAATTAGAAATAGGATAGTTCCTGCCACAGTAAATAAAGGTATGCTTATTTAAACATTGTAGTTTTTCAARGAGGGAAAAGGACAAATAATTATTACAATTAGGGATAATTATTCATCTTGAATCATGGGTGAGTTTAGATCATGCAATGTATAATTAGCTGTCTAGGACTCTGTCGGGCTAAAGTTATAGTGATGACCTCAGGGAGCTTAACATATAAACACAAGGCAATTGTTTGGAAATTCTGCAAACGTCTTTCAAGCCTTTTTGAAAACCTTTTATTATTAAGTCGTGACCCCTTTAACTCATGCATGACTGACTTCAAAAAGTTTGTACAAGTTTATACACAAGCAACAGTACGTAATGATACTAGGAAAATAGTAAGACAAATATTTGTAACTGACCTAGGGTTGCTAGGAAAATAGTAAGACAATTGTATTAAACGTCAATATTATACCGCGTTCCGTACCAACTCCGATTTCTAGCCATTTGTTTTTGAGCTCATTTGCATTATCCTTCAACAATCTTTTGCCTGTAGATATTTTGCCCCATAAAAGCTCCAAAAAAGCTAGGTTATAAAAAAGGAATTTGAACTTTAAAGCATTTAACTTAGTTCGACGAATTAAGTTAAGATCTTGCCTGCCAGTCAATAGCTTAAGTAAAAGATAAAAAAAATGTTTTTTCMCCGCAATTTGTAAATTGCATTTACAATAAGACCATGCTATATTAAGGAAAAAGAACTTGACAAAGAACTTTTGTTAAAGCCACGCGGCATTTAATTTAAGCTACAGAAAAACTGAACAAACAGTCTTATGCATGTTGAAGAGCGATCACAGATTGAAAGGCGAGAAGTGCATTTATCCTCTAATATAGCTTAAAAGTCCAAAAGATGTACTRGATAAAATATATCAACACAAACCATACCTGATAGGACAAAGATATTCACTAGGTAAATGTAGTTTTTCCCCATTGTTTTTCGATTGCTTGAGGTGAAAGGCCGAAACTTATTGGAASTAAAAGAAWTTCGTGACAACCTCCAATGACTCTATGCAAGCASAGAGGAGGAGCAGTTCGCCAAACGCTTCAGTGGTCTGACAGCACTATAAGAATATAATRGCYGGTTCGAGGATGAATGKATTAGCAGAGAAAAACAAAAGATCGTTCTCTAACTCGTCAGCTGTAACTTATATAGATTATGCCGAGTCTGCCGAGTGCAGATCCTGTCACGTGCTGTTGGGCTTCCTTTGTATTTTCTTTGAAAAGGAAGTATAAATCGCATATGTTATCTAGGGAACGATTGCTAAATATTGTGAAAATGTGTCTAGTCATGACTCCCCCAACTTTCTGACGTCGACATCTTCCGTGTTCATTATTAACGTCATAAATGTATTTATTGCTTCGGGAATAATTGGTTTTATATGAGCGAAATCATRCCAATAATTGAATTTTTTTCRGCTTYAATCCACTTCTTCCAMGAATATTTTGCTTTAAATGTTCCCCTAAGATTTTRAAATATTTATGATTTTGACAAATCACCCAGCTGATAACATTCCAGACTGAGGCAGTCGGATTGTCAAAGAGTGAGATTGACTCTAGGACAAGGAAAAATTCAGTTTCATACAAAAAACTTTATTGACAAAATAGCAAGCTAATTACATAAGTACAATAATGGTACAATTATATTCTTTGTGCTGAAACGACATCATATTGTATTGTATCTCACTGTTTTCTTTAGTTCCCTTTCTTACGAAACACAGTTGCGTTGGGATACCTGTGGGGTGCATATACTAATTAAAGTCGTCGTAAAATGAAAACTGTTCGTGCGCAACATTGTCAACAATAAGTATTTGCCTGTAGGCAAGCCATGGGTGCAAGKAGCTGTAACGCCATCATAGAGATAAACAAAAGAAGATCTAACAAATCATATCGAGTCTTACAGGTTMTTATCACTCAATCAATCCAATACTTTGAGGGCGGGGCACAATATTCGTCATCGTGCGTCATGATRTGTCCTTCACKTCATTCAATACGTCATTATATTGGCACCAGGCCGTTTTGAAGTTATGTCTGATAATAAATACTGGTCCTTCTACCGCTCTGTTGYCTTTTCGTCACCGTCTTTGTCCTCTAAGCTAACTTCAGATAAACTTTCGTCAGAATCAGTTTTAGACGTTGCTTTGTCCCATTCTTGTCGTTTATCTGTTATACAAGTACAAAATACCGTCGCACCAAGTGCGTATATACAAAGTGTAATCCAAAATACTGTTCTCCATTCTGCTGCCGTCTACGAGAAGGAAAAGAATGACAGTTACGAACGAGCAATCAAAAAAAAARRMYTWAAAWTYMAAA